AGTGTTAGACACTCCAACGATGTTAGATTTAAGAAGCCGTAGATAAGTAGCAGTAGGAAGTTTGTAAACTTAGCTGATAATAAATATGTTCACATTATTCATAGGTTGTGTTATGTTATTCTTAACATAGGAGTACCAAACAGCTGCCATGAAACTTCAGCAGTACAGTCCACGTCACCAAAATTGATTCATGATTCGAAAAAACAAAAATTACAGACATCGTTAGAAAGTTTTGTATCGAGGCCCCTAACTCTATCTAAGCTGCAAAAAATGAATAACTTAACTTTGAATATGATGATAATTGACGTACAGCCATTTTCCATTATCGATGATGCAGGTTTTCGGAAATTAATTCTATAACTTGAAAAACTTTTAGAGAATCTTTATTGCCCCAAAAGTATGAAAATGCAAAAGATACCTTACGTGTATTGCCAGAAGAAGCAGATTATATCAATATAACAACAGATGGTTGGACTTCGATCGCCAATGAAAGTTATATTTCTGTAACAGTTCACTTCATTTCTAAAGATTGGATTTGGATTGGATTCTATTCTTGCCTCCAAGATTGTTTAGTTTATCAACAAAGTCATACTGCCAAAAATTTGTGTGATCAAATTCAGATAATCATACGTCAATGGGGTCTATCAGGAATAATATATGCTGCTACAACTGATAATGTACCAAATGTGGTTAATTCCATACAAATAGCCGGTTGGGCATAAATTCCTTGCTTTGCCCACACATTAAACCTAATAGTGCAGCGATCCCTTAAAAAAATAGATGTGTCCAGAAAAAAAGTCAAGTCCATAGTAGAATATTTTCACAGAAGTACTCGGCCAATATAAAAAAAAATTCTGTCCAAAAACAAATAAATCCTGATAACACTCCACTAAAGCTGAAAAATGATGTTGTAGCTAGGTGGGATTCTACATTTTACATGTGCGAAAGGATAATAAAGCTAGAAGAATCACAGCAACGATTGGTTTATTGCCCAGTCCAGTACCGTCACTGACCGAAACCGAATGGAACAACATAAAAGAATCGTTCAAAGTCCTTAGATCTTTCGAACAAGTGACAACCGAAATGAGTTCCGAAAAAACAGTAACATTATCTAAAGTTATAAATATTGATAGGTATTTAAATTCTATATATCATAAATTTAACGACACAATTATACGAGAAGAGTCACTAAAACTTATTAACAGCTTAATGCAACGTTTATCAAAAATATTTGCAAATATTGAAACCAACAACACAACGTCGAGTGCCGCTATACTATATCCTAGATTTAAAGACCGAGCATTTAGTACTCCAGAACTGGCGAAGAGGGCAAGAGAAAACATTCAGGAGGAACTATTTCAACTAATGAAAAACAGAACAAAATATGAAAAGATGCTTAGAAAGTAATTCAAATTTATTTACGGAGGGCTAGATAACAACAAACGTTTGTGAAGATCCTGATGATGGAACAGATCTCGTGTGGGGAAGGATTTTGATAGACAAGTGAAAAATATTTCGGATCAAACGTCACTGTCACAAGCAATTCTAGAATTGTGAATGTAATGGAAGATGCTCCGATAAGTAGAAAATAAGATCCATTGCAGTATTGGAAAACTAGGCAACTGATATATCCGAATTTT